ACATGAGTATTGCATTGAAAAACTTGAGCTTGTTGTTCAAGAATACTCGTTTTTAAAAGGCTGACAAAGCTTTAAATATTACTTGCAATATATGCACCCTGATTTTTGCCTAAAGCTAGGATAAACTTGGCTAGTGTAGATGAAGTGTATTGCACACCTTTTAAATGCTGGTTGTAATGATTACTGTATGTGGTGCTAAGCCCATTGTCCTTTTGCAGTGCTGTTGTTTCCAGAGTTGGTATGTTGACATGCAGTACTCCCCTTCTGCAAGAGTTTAAGAAGATGGCAGAATCTGTGTTTGGAATTGCCACAGGATGGAACAGCTCTGTGATGCATGAAATTGGGACCATAGCAGGTAACAAGACCCAGACTCCTAACAGTGATATTTCTAAAATACCATCTGTATGTTTAAAAAAAAAATGTCCATGTTCATTCCATACTTTGCACCTCTGTATTAGCAAGAGATGCTACAACCAGGAGTCACCTTCAGGCATGCTTGGGCAGTTTTTTTTTATTGAGGTCTTCCACAGAGAAAACCATGTGCTCAAACTCGGAATCCAGAGTTTGGCCCTATATGTTAGGGGTTGACTATAGGCAAATCAGGGCCCATGCAAAACAATAGCCAAAGTTCAAGTGCACCCCCCTCAATGGGTTGCTCTTCTTCCTCCTGGCTCCTGGGTCTTACTTCTAAGCAAGATGGTCTACTAGCTTTGCAGCAGATGGGTATCCAGCTGAGTACTGCGCTGCCCCCAGCTGCTCTTTCTGCCAAAACTGGTTCTCTCTATTAGTAGGGTCCAGGAATCCTAGATGAAGTTGCTCATATGTGGGCATTTCCACTGATGTAACCAGGAATTGAGGGCAGAACTTTGGATGCTCTTTACTTATTCGGGGCACGTGAGCAGGCAGACTTGCCAAGCTGGTGCTGAAGTTCTAGCTTCTGCCCATTCAAGTAGAATGTGCTCAGTCCAACAATGACATTTTTTGTACAGCATTAAACGGTGTATGCAAAGTGCAAGGATAGCTGCCTGCAACAGCATTCTCATTAAAAAACTAGGGGACTGTGGTGTCGACACCTACACAGTCAAATGTGTCACCAACTGGCTGGAGGGCCACACCCAGAGAGTGGTGGTGGATGGGTCATTTTCGACCTGGAGGGATGTGGGCAGTGGGGTTCACCAGGGCTCGGTCCTTGGGCCTGCACTGTTCAACATCTTCATCAGCAACTTGGACGAGGGGGTAAAAAGCACCCTGTTCAAATCTGCAGACGACACTAAGATGTGGGGGGAAGTGAGCACGCTAGAAGGGAGGAATAGGCTGAGGTCAGACCTAGACAGGTTACAGGGGTGGGCGGATGAGAACAGGATGGGTTTCAACACTGACAAGTGCAAGGTACTGTACCTGGGGATGAAGAACCAGCACCATACCTACAGGCTGGGGAACTCCCTTCCCATCAGTGCAGAGGCAGAAAAGGATCTTGGAGTCATCATTGA